ACAACAACAACCTAAGTCAATCAATAGATTTAATGAAATCCTGATCCTGAGTCTATCAAATTGCTTACAAAGAAGGAAAAGCCCATCGCTAACTTTATATGGAAAGGAAAGAGACCTGAGATAAGCAAAGCACTATTAAATAAGAAGAACACGGTAGGAGTCACATGCTTCCTGACTGTAAAACTTACTACAGCTATGGTAGTACAAACAGCCATGAATTGGTACAACGACAGACACATAGACCACTGTAACAGAATTGAGAATTCAGGAGTAAATCCATAATCTATGGACTCCTGGTGTGACACTGTAGGATCAGCACTGGACTGAAAACCATAGGTCAGCAGTTCAAACCCACCAATTGCTCCTTGGAAACCCTATACAGGGTTGCCATTAGTTGAAACCAACTCGACAGCACTAAACAATAACATGGATAGTCTTCAACAAAAGGCTGAACTGCCTAAACTGGTGAAAAGATGGTCTCGTTAAATAATGCTACTGGCAAAACTGGGCATGTTCTCAGGAGGGACCAGTCCCTGGAGAAGAACATCATGTTTGGTAAAGTGGAGGGTCAGCGAAAAAGATGACACCCCCAGTGAGATGGACTGGCACCGTGGCATCAGCAGTGGGCTCAAGTGTAACACCAACTGTAAGGATGAAGCAGGACAGGCAGTGGTTAGCTCTGTTCTTCATAACAGAACTGATTCGACAACATCTAACAACAACAAAAATGACAATATACAACAATGTGCTCAGATACCCCAAAATCTGGATTATTTTGGGCATCTGTATCATATTGTATCTCATTCCTTTGTTGTACAAGCTTCAGAAGGTACCTTTTACCCAGGCAATCTTCTCATTAAACAACCACAACTATGCCCTCCAAATTTCAATTAATAAAATAAACATTAATCAACAAGCATAAGCCTTTTGTACTAAAAGTGCAGACATAGGTTTCTCCATGCATAACTGAGGCAGAGGGGCATCTCATCTTTATTTCTAAATAAAGCTTAAATGTTCACCTTATATACTCTAGCAGCTACAGCCACAAGCTTGAAGGATAGTGTGCTCCAAGGCCAGAGCTGCTTGATATTAAGAATACATTGATGAAAAGAGCCCCCGTACTTCCCTACCTTTTCTGAGGCCCTTTCTTGCACTGGTGACTCTGTGCTTGGCACGGAGGGAGGAGGAGGTGCTCGGCGCTTCTTCATATCTGACTTCATAGACACCCCTGAGATGTTGCTGAGTGAGAGGGATGGACCCCGTGTAATGGAACGTGAATTCACAGACGGGGAGTTTGGAGTTGTCAGGCAGCCCTGTTGTAGAGAAGAGGAAAATATAAACTCTCATCAATACAAGTTCATAACTTCACTTTGGTTTAATGCTCAGATGTGAAAACAGAGTGACAAATCATTTATCCGGCTTTTAATATCACATATTTGATTTTCAGGTTTTGAATAACTTGAGCAAAACTGACATTGTCACTTTCAGGGGAAATTATAGTAGATTATACTGTATAACATGCTCTTGTTATAAGTTTGCTTTTTAAATCATAATGAAATCAGGAGACTTTAAAATTCACTGAGAACAATGAGGAGCTAGAATCATTTATATTCTGGACCACACTGAAGTTATGAATACACCCCCTTACATCTTTACCCTGTTGTCAAAGTGAGCTCTTAGGGATTCGAATGAGCAAGAAGGCTATTTCTCATGGGAAAAGAAGACCAATAATTTCTGCCATTATAAGAAGTTATTCACTTGCTTTCAAGAAGTTTTTAAAATATATATATAAATTTCTTCTCATTTTCAGAAGTTATGAATAATGATTTTGAAATGTAAATAATGCACTGTGAAGACTCTACTTGACTGCCAAATACAGTAGGTAGTGATAGGCATCTAGCAATCTGAAAATAAATGCAACTCAACACATTAAGCAGTGATTCTCAAGATGTAATTATTCCACTAGGGAACAAGGTAAAAAAGTACAGATATTTTTCCTATGTTTTTTCCCTCTAAAAAAGTAATTTGTCACCAAGTTTTAGTACATAGGTAACAGGGGGGACAGGAACACCAGTTAGGTATGCTCACCATGGTCAACCAATCGAGATCAAAAGGGTAACATTTACCTAAGGACAAAGTTCAGAAGGTTGGGAAGGAGGGTAGATTGAAATAGAAACCATAGCAAGGAAGTTACATTGAGGGGACTGCACTCCACTGAGAGGAAACGAAGTGAACGATTTGGTGAAAATAAAACTGATGATCTTCTCTGCACACCTTGATTCAATTCACAATAAAAAGTTAAAAAATAATGCAATTTTTCCAAGAACTTTTTGAAGGCCCCTCGTATAACCATTTATTTATTTACCATCTTTCTCCCCTAATGACCTCTATAAGAACAGTGATTATTTTCCAAATATTGTTGTTATTGTTAAGTGCCATCGAGTAGGTTCTGACTCATAATGACCCTGTATAGGGTTTTTGAGGAGTGGCTGGTGGCTTTGAACCCTGACCTTGCAGTTCAAACTGACCGTGCAGTCCAGTGCATTATCTGGCAGTACACTCCCATATTTCCAGCTCTTAGAAAAATTTATGTCACAGAAAGGGCACTTAAACAAGCACATGCTAGAATGACGAAAGCACGAGTCCACATAACTCTGATTCTGTGTTTTACATAAAGAACTCCAGAGCAAATTCTAACTTGAATAACTGCTTCTATATTAAAAAAGATATACACATACATATATATAAAAGGAGCCCTGGTAGAGTAGAGGTTATGAATCGGGCTGCTAACCTCAAAGTCAGCAGTTTGAAACTACCAGCTGTTCCATGAGAGAAAGATGAAGCTTTCTGCTCCCGTAAATATTACAGCCTCAGAAACCCTGTACAGGGTCTCTATGAGTCAGAACCGACTCCGTGGCACATCACCACCACCATATATACTGTTTTTTAATGATAGTTTTTCATCTACACACACATGCATACAGACATAAATGAGAGGCTTCAAAAAACTTCCATTAACTATCAATTCCATTTTTTCCATGAGATTTTTAAAGCCCCTCTTTTCACGGAAAAGTGGAATTGAAAGTTAATGGAAGTTTTCCATGAACATGCACACAAATGCACATACTCACACATCAATTCTAGTATGTTCTGGCAATGATACGATAACTTTGCTTCCTGAGAAAATCGTTTTGAGAATCAAATGTTCTTGTACTTAAGCATTAAAGCCAAAGGACAGAACAATCTATGAAGGTCACTTTTTATGGCAGTTCATGTTTCCTTAAGAGATCTCCAAAGCCTCGGTCATCAAATACAGAGTTCTCATGGGAAACAGGTGAGGGATCTCACAGCAAAGTGTCTGACACCAAAGCAACTCAGCAGTACCTATATAGGCTCCCATGAGCAATTAGTCCTCTGTATCCTCGGGTTCTACAACTTTGGATTCAACCACAGTGGACTGAAAATACCTGGGGGTGGAGAGGCTACTAAGAAGCAGTGAAGTGGTCAAAGCAATCTCTCAATGGATAACAGGGAGTATAAAGTGCTATTTAGACGGCATTTAAATTTTATTAGGCATAGTAAACAATCTAGTGATGACAAAGTTCAAGGGAGAATGTGCACAGGTTATATGCAAATACTGTGCCATTTGATATAAGGGACTTGAGCATTTGCAGATTTTGGTGCATGTGTGCATGTCTGTGTGTGTGTGGGGGGGGCATTGGGGTGAGGTGGTGTCCTGGGCTAAATCACTCAAGGGTACTGTTTTAGATATCTAGTGCTGCAATAGCAAAATTACCAGAAATAAATGGCTTTAACATAAATCTATTTTCTCACAGTTTGTTGTTGTTGTTAAGTGCCGTCGAGTCGGTTCCAACCCATAGCGACCCTGTATAGGGTTTCCAAGGAGCAGCTGGTGAGCTTGAACTGCTGACGTTGCCGTTCAAACAGCTTTACAGTCTGGTGTATTAACCCACAGCACCACACCAGGACTCCACAGTTTAGTAGGTTACAAATCTGAATTTAGAGCACCAATTCTGGGGAAAGATCCTTGTCTCTTTTCAACATCTGTATGTCCAATATTTCTTGGAGATTTCCAGGTATCTTGGCATCAATATTTCCCCGTGTCTAGGAACTTTTCAGTACAGGGACCCTAGGTTCAAAGGATGAATTACACTCCTGGCTCATTTTTCACGGTGATAGTAGGTCCCTCTGAGCTCTGCTTGCCTGTTAACTTGTTTGGTATGGAGCTATAATATAAGCACTGGACTGGTAACCACAAGGTGGCTGGTTCAAATCCACCAACCACTGCTTGGAAACACTATACAGAGTTTCTATGAGTTAGAATTGGCTCAAAAGCATTTAGAAACAATGTATCTCCAAAGAGATTGACTGAAAGTTCAACCTAGTGCTATAGATTGTATCTAGTCTCATTAACAACATAGAAATGAGAATTTACAACACACAGGATAATTACATCAAATCACATCATAGGGAAAGTGATTATATCAGATCTCATCATAGGGGGTAGTAATTACTACATCTTAACTACTAAACCATGGAAAACTCAAGCCCAACAAAGTTGACACAAAACCTTAACTTCTGTATTATACTATGGGACAACTGTACCAAGGAAATACGCCAATGCCAAATGAACTTGGCTTACTAGTTTTCTCTGCCTTAAATCTACCCACAGCCACCATGGAGACCTAATATGAGAGAATACAGACTTACTTAAAGATGCTGAATACAGATTACCAAGTGAAATGACTAAAGAAAACCAGAGAAGGGGATTTACTAGTCCAAGGTTCCCAAGCTGTGAAGGTATTTCACTGGATGGTTTGTTATCTCAAATACCCTTAAATTCAAGAGGAAATACAAGCTGCAGCTTTTCTCATCAAAGTCATTTAGTACTGTGGCTGGAAGCACATCCTAAGATCTACTGAGATGCTCAATTTCCTTATCCATAGTATTTGCTGACAGCGCTTCTCTACACACAAACAGACACATACACACACACACACACACACACACCACGCACAAACACACACAGTTTGGTAAAGCTTGTGAAATGAAATGGGGAACTATACCATTACCGACACTATTATCGCTGAAGTACGCATGCCCCTGTTTGGCATCCTGGAATCATGACACTCTTGATAATGCATTTCACAACCCAGCATTTAATTGCTTTTCTTCACTCCACCCTGTCTAGACACAGAACTTCCAATTCCTCTCCTCTTCCGTCCTCACCACAACTATGTGTGGTTGACTGATCACTCGACACAGCTATGAATATTCCTCTGTCCTTTAAATGCCTTGAGCATTTTCAGAAGTTCTACACACAAGATTCCTTTCAAAGAATGATACATGTTATATTGATTTCAGGTTTGAATTCTGTGATCCTCTTACTCTTACAAGAATTCTGACATCCATGTGAGGCTCTTGAGCTGCAAATTCTTTCCTGTAAGGACTTCAACTGGGTTAGCCTGATGTACAGTCTACCCAGCATCAGGCCCACACATGAGTATGGGCCTTACAGGAGGTCACATCTTCCTCTTTACAACTGGGAAAATTCCATTCACTTCAATGTTACTATAAGAATTAAATGAGACAATTTATATAAAGTGCCTAGCATATTTCTGCCACATTGTTGTGGTTGTTAGGTACCACCAAGTTGGTTCCGACCTGTGGTGACTCTGTATAGGGTTTCTGAGGCTGTGAATCTTTACAGGAGCACAAAGCCCCATCTTTTTCCCTTGGAGCAGCTGGTGGGTTTGAACAGTTGCCCTTGTGGTTAGCACTCCAGAGCTTACCCTTCAGTGCTACCAGGGCTCCTTCTGCCACATGAGAGATATGTGTAGTTTACTTCTTCTAAGTGTTTTTAGGGAGAATAACCTCATCCCATTAGGAATGCAGTGAGAAGAACTCAAACACCAGAAAGCCAAAGGCCTTAAACGTAACCCAACTAAGTTGTTCTTCTAAGTCTGACACGTGAATGGCCTTGGACTTCTCACAAGCCATTATCTGGTCCTTGACAACTTCAGTGAATTTTGACAATGGCTGCCATCCAGTCGATTCCAACTCATGATGACCACATGTGTATTAGAGTAAAACTGTGTTTTCTAGGGGTTTCCACTGGTTCATTTGGAGGAATAGATTGTCAGGCCTACCTGACTACTCTGAGTAGACTCAAATCGCTAAACCTTTGGTTAGTAGCTAAGCACATGAACCAGTTTTACCACTCAGGCACATACTGCTTACCCCAAGTCCCTACACAGACCAGGAGCATCACCTCCCACCAACCTACAGGTCC